GTTTCAAGAGAGATTACACAGGGAAATACAAAGACTTTGCAACATGTGAATTGGCCCTAATTCTCAGAGGCTGTTGCCCCCCTTATTTGGTGGTGGTGCCCAACAGAGTGCAGGAATGTAGCCTTTCAACCTAAATCCTAAACACATTGACTAGGGAATAAGACCCACTGAACACATTAGGACTGAGTAGAAGAGGGAGAGAACAGTGTAAACTGCTTTGGGCCTCCATTGGGGAGAAAGCCGTGGTATAAATGAAGTAAATAAACAAAGTTGCTTAGAACCTCTCTATAGAGTATCAGGCTATTGAGTCAATCTATCTCATATTGGATCTTCTTCTTTTCCTATTACCTTAAACTTTCCCTAACATTATTGTCTTTTCCACGGAGTCTGGTCTTCTCATGATATGACCAAGGTATGATAGCCTCGGTTTTGTTGTTTTAACTTCTAGGAAGAGTTCAGGGTTCATTTGATCTAGAACTAGTGTTGCCAACTCCAGGTAGGAAAATTCCTGGAGATCTTGGGGGTGGGGCCTGAGCAGAGTATGATTGGGGGAGGGGCGGGACCTCAGCAGGGTATAATGCCATAGATTCCATCCTCCCAAGTAGCCATTTTCTCCAGGGCAACTGAGCTCTGTTAAGTCTGGAGGTCAGTTGTAATTCCAGATCTTCAGGCCCCACCTGGAGGTAGGCAACCTTATGGGCCACCTTTTTGTCTTTTTGGTGGTTCATGGTATCTGTAAAACTCTCCTCCAACACATTTCAAATGAATCAATTTTCTTCATGTCAGCTTTCTTCATTGTTCAATTTTCACATCCATACATGGTAATGGGGAATACCATAGCAGATATTATCTTGATCTTGGTCTTCAGCAACTCCTTACACTTAAGGATCTTTTTTAGTTCCTTCATGCCTGCCCTTCCAAGTCTCAATCTCCTTCCAGTTTCTTAACTTCCAAGTTAATACATGATTTGACTATGATGGTGTTCTACTACTTAATGCATTTGTGTGGCTCTTTCAATGTTCCGTATAGTTCTGTAGCCATTGGTTTTTAATAGTTTAATTTTTAGTGATTCCTATGCTGCTTTATGTTTTTATCATATTTTCATTAGCAAGCTGCCTTAAGCAGGTTCCCTAGAGAGAAGGCATATAAACAGGCAAGCCTCAGGATGAAATCCTGTTATGTATTAAGCTCACAGTGCACCAGAGAACTGACCTAAGTGCAATAGCGAACACCTAAACAATAGACTACTAGGATCCTCAAAGGGACCTATTGAACGGGAGTTATCTTGTAAATAGCCTATCACCGGGAGTGTCTGTCTGTTGGGTGTGGTGTTTTGCACGCATTTAAGCAGGGCTCCAGTCCTGCTAGAGTTGTCTTAGAGTTTAGCTAAAATCACTAATAAACTATGAGCTGATCACTCAACGCGTCTGAGTTCCGAGTGCAGTACCGGCACTTCGACGGACCTTTGGACTTGATAGTAGTGAGAGGCAGTCGCACGAGCCTCGTCGGACTTTCATGGTTTGCGGCACTGGGGTTCTGCGTTACGGGGGTCCACCACGTGGCCGCTAAAGACTTTCAGAAGGTGTGCAACGAGTTCCCCGCAGTGTTTGATGGGACGCTCGGTCGCTACACCAGACCTCCCATCTCCTTACAACTCAACCCGAAGGTGCGGCCCATAAGAGGGCCAGACATATCCCATTCGCCCTAAAGCCAAAAGTTGACGAGGAGCTGGATAGACTGGTGGCCCAAGGGGTCTTGGAGCCGGTCCTACATGCCCTACGGGAAACCCCTATAGTAACCCCAGTAAAGCCCAATGGAGACGTCTGCATCTGCGCAGACTACAAGTGCACTATTAACAAGGCCCTCGAGGACCACGCTTATCCAGTCCCCGTGGTCAGCCACGTCCTGGCGTCCTTGGTGGGTGCGAAGATCTTCAGCAAGCTGGATTTAGCCCAGGCCTACCAGCAGCTCCCAGTTGATGATGCGATTGCAGAGGCCCAGACGATTGTGATGCACAGGGGTGCATCGGCTACAATTTGGGGTCAGTGTAGCCCTGGGAATTTTCCAAAACCTAATGGACTCTCTCCTTAAAGGAATTCCTGGGGTTCAGCCCTTCTTTGACGATGTTTTGATCACCGCACCCATGGAGGAGTTTGCCGAAAGACTACGCACTGTCCTCCAGCGATTCCATGCAGCCGGGCTCAAGGTAAAGCTAGAAAAGTGCCTCCTGGGAGTTCCACGGGTCGAGTTCCTGGGCTTCTCTGTCGATGCGCAGGGCATCCATCTGGCTCCGGACAAGGTCCGCACCATCATTAACGCACCAGTGCCCATGTCCAAACCAGAGCTCCAGGCCTTTTTAGGACTGTTGAACCTTTACCACTCCTTCCTGCCCCATAAGGCCGCGGTCACGGAGCCTCTGCACCGGCTCCTCAACAAAAAAGCCCCCCGGATCTGAGGCCAGAAGCAAGCCGCGTTCCGGGCCGTCAAAGAACTGCTCACTTCTAACACCGTCCTCACTCACTTCAACGAAATGCTTCTGGTCATCTTCACCTGCTATGAGTCCCCGTACGGGGCAGGAACTCTCCTCGGTCACCAGCTCCCAGATGGCAGGGAAGTCCCTATTCTCGCACCTTGTCTTCAGCCGAGCACAACTACGTGCAGATTGACAAAGAGGCGCTGGCGATTGTGGCGGGAGTCAAGAAATCCCATGACTACCTCTATGGGAGGCCCTTCACCATCGTGACCGACCACGAACCACTGCTGGGCATGCTGGCCCCAGATCGCCAAACGCCGCAGATGCTGTCTTCCAGGGTGCTACGCTGGTCCATCATCCTGGCTGGCTACCAGTATTTGCTCATGCATCACCCGGGGAAGGTGATGGGTCACGCCAACGCCCTCAGCCGCCTACCGCTGCCCTCCACTGACCTGGACCCGACTCCAGCGCATCAGATCCTGCTCCTCGAGGACCTGCCTGACCATCCTCTTCAGGTTTCCGACGTGTCCCATCACACTGCCAGGGACCATGTCCTCTCCCATGTTTTGGACTGGGTGGGGAGGGGATGGCCCACCAGCCGGGTGGGCTCGGAGTTCACTGCATTCTCCTCCCGCCGGGATGAACTGTCGGCACACAAGGGCTGCCTGCTGTGGGGAAACCGGGTGGTGGTACCAACACCGTTGTGCCAACAAATACTAGCGGCACTTCACGAAATGCACCCGGGGATCGTGCGGATGAAGGCGGTGGCACACAGCTACGTATGGTGGCCCAGCATGGACAGTGAGATCGAGGACTGTGTTAGGCGCTGCCAGACATGCCAGGAAACCCAATCAGAACCCGGAGCAAACGGCCACGGGTTGCCCTGAAGTCGCGCCAACACCACCACATTCCATCGACACCTCGGCTGCGCCTGTGGCCTCCGATCCTGAGACCCCAGTTCCGCAGATGGAGCTGCGCCGTTCGAACCGCGAACGGCGCTGACCAGCCTACTTAAGAGACTTTGTCTGTTAAGGTGCTTTTGAACCTTGGGGGGAGAGGTGTTATGTATTAAGCTCAAAGTGCACCAGAGAACTGACCTAGCTTGAACACCTGAAAAGTATGCAGACGGAGAGAGATTCCAGCTAAGCATACCTTTATTTAGTCAGGAACAAAGACGAAGGGACCAGCTCGCAGGCTGGTTTATGTACGTTCAGAAAACCCGCCACCAAGTACACCTAAACACACCCCCTACTCCCGATAGGCTATTTACAGTAACCGGGTGACCATTGGTCTCACGGCTGAGAAGCTGGCCCACCGATAGGGCCGGCTAGGATCCTACGGACCCATTGTCTTTGGACATGAAGCTATTGAAGAATTGTGTCTGGCCAGCCCGGGCAAGTCCGGGCATGTCAGGCTGAATACATTACAACACCTAAACAATAGACTACTAGGATCCTGAAAGGGACCTATTGAAAGGGAGTTATCTTGTAAATAACCTATGGGGGGGTGTTGGGTGTGGTGTTTTGCAGGCTTTTATGCAGGGCTCAGATCCTGCTAGAGTTGTCTTACAGTTTAGCTGAAATCACTAATAAACTATGAGCTGATCACTCAACGTGTCTGAAAAGTACGCAGATGGACAAGTGATTTCAGCTTAACGTACTTTATTAGATCAGGAACAAGACAAAGTAACCAGCTCGCAGGCTGGTTTATATGTGCAACAACCCCGCGCCCCAAACACACCCAAACACAAGTGATTGGCTATTTACAGTGGCTGACAGTTCCATAGGCTCTCGGTCGGGAGCCTAGCCTGCCGATAGGTGCCGGCTAGGATCCGCTTGTCCCATTGTTACTGAGAGCGAAGCTCGGCCACTTCGCATGACCGCGTGGTGAAATGGCCACGCATGCGGTCTGAGATGGATACATTACAGTATCTGAACCCAGTACATTTCAAATCTTATACACACTCACCTAGGAGTAACCATTAATGAAGGGCGTGGTGCTTACTTTTGAGTATTAATTTGTAGCAGCAAAATAAAACAGGGTTCCAATAACTCTTTAAAAACGATTACATTTATTTCAGTACAGTCTTTCTCTTCTGTTTTGTCAGTGTAACTCCTGCTTTATTTTACTTCCGAGCACACCTTAAAAAGACCCAAAGTAATGTTGTGCCCCTTCAAGTTTACAAAGCCACTTCCCACCAAGCTGGAAGATTCTCTCTTCGCTATTAACAACGGCCTAGCCCACCACTTTATAAACTTCAGTTCCCAGAATCCCCCGCAGGCACCGTCCTTTTGACGTCCTCCAGTTCGCAGATTGGCCCGAACCGCCACCTCCGCCTCCCGTTCCTCAGTTTGCCGCGTCCCTTTGGCCACGGTGGCCGTCACTCCATGCCGGGCCAATGAGACGTTGAACGTCAAGGGAGGAAGTGCTATTCTCGAAGGGCCTTTGCGCCATTCGTGCGGCGTAAAGAGCGGCAAGAGGCTAAGGAGTTGGTGGCGCAGATAGCGTGGCGCAGGCGCGTTGGGGGTGGAGAAACGGTGGACGAAAAAGAGGAGGGGAAGAGGAGGTGTTTGCTGAGCTCCAGACAGCTGGCGGGGTAAACAGAGGAGGGGGCCGGGGAGGGCGAAGGTCCCAGCCAAGCCTGGGCTGCGAAGCCTGGTGAGCGGCTCCCGCTGTCTCCTAGCCACCCAGCCTCCCCGACGGGCCCTGCCGCGGCGCAGGGCTCGGTTCGCCCCCCTGCATGGAAGTTCAAGCGCTCCGTCCACTGGCTGTTGCGCCTGCCCTGAGGAGGCCTGACAGGTAAGCACGGGGTTCTCCCGGAATTGCAACTCGTCTCCAGACTACGTAAATGTGTTTCCCGGGAGGAAATGGCAGCTTTGGAGGCTAGACTTGTACGGCATCGCATCCTGCTGAGTTCCCTCACCTCCCCAAACTTCACCCCCACCCCTCCCCGCCGCAATGCCCTCCCTAAACTCCGGGAGTGTTCCGGAGTTGGCAACCTAGGTAAGAACTATTTCTTGCCCACCTGCCTGAGGGCACGCGAGAGACCCCCTTGCCCTGTCCTTGCACTGCGTCTGAGGGGGGGGGGCAGATTCCCTGGAGGAGTGCTTAACAGAGAATAGTTATTCCACTGCCTTGTTTTTCCCTTGCACCAGGCCAGTTGCGATCACTTGACTTTTCCCATCTAGATTTCCAGTGGCTTCTCTCTCCCCACCCCCTTCCCCTGGCCAGATCCCTTTTGAGGCATCTGGGTTTTTTTCTGAGTAAGTAATGGGTTAAATGGAGGGGAAATATCTAGGATTAGTTAAGATAAGAATAGTTATTTCACTGCTTGTTGTCATCCTTTAAGAGGTAACTTGACTTTCTCTTACTCATCATGTGAGAGGTGTTTCATCTGGTGGCACAAGACCTCCCTTTCTCTAAAGTGATCTCTCCTGATGTGTGGTCTAGCAAGTAGTGGGTTAAAGGCAGGGCAAATGGGATCACTTAATATGGAATGAATACTTCCTTGCCTTCTTCCTGTCCTGGTTCTTTAAGGGCTAACATAATTGTTATTTTGTTTACAGTATAAACCACCTTGAGTTCCACAAGGCAGAGAGGTGGCTGGTAAAGTTTTAAATAGATAGATAAATGTCTTGACTTTTATTTATTTATTTTATTTATTATTTCGATTTATCTCCCACCTTGCCACAGAGCTGGCTCAAGGAGGCTAACAACATTAAAACATTAAAAAAATAAATACATTAAAATACAGAGTAAATGCAAACAGCCATTACAGAGTAAATGCAAACAGCCATTAACTGTGCCAATGATGATGTTGATGATAATAATGATGGCGGCATACAATATACAGACAACGGCATTAACCAATCAGTGTTTCGTACAGGCCGAGATGTGTTCCAGCGGCTCATACTGCATTCCAAAGAGAGTGGTTCCACTTCTTCCTCCCAAGGTCTGGTCTCTTCTGATGTGTGGTCTACTGCTTTCTAGCAAGTAGGGGGTTCAGGGCAGGGCAAATAGGATCACTTAATATGAATAGTTATTTCACTGACTTCCTCTTCTGGTCCTTTTGAGCTAACTTGACTTTCTATCCTCCTTTGTAAGAGAGAGGTGCTCCATCAAAGAGCATATGAGACCTCTCCTTCCCCACATGGCTAGCTCCATTTTTGAAATATGCACTCTACTCCTTTCTAGCAGACATTGAGTTCAGGGCAGATGCCTAGGATCATTTATTGCAGGGGATAGTTCTTTCATCCAGTGGTGTGACTTGCAAAAGGTGATGCTGGGATGAATCTTGTTAGTCTTTAAGGTGTCACATTGGCCTCCATTTTAATTTTGCTGTTACAGAATAGTGTGGCTACTCCTCTGGAGTTAAAAACACAGAGGTAGTTACTCCACTGCCTTCTCCTTTTGCCCCAGTCAGTCAATCTTTATTATGGCCCAGAGGCTATTCAACAAGCAGGGGAAAAACAGTAGAAAAACAATACTATAAGGTTAATTATCTACATAGAATCTCAGCAGGCATTTTTCCTCCTAACATACCTAACACATTAAGGGTTAGAATCTTAGTACATTACATAACAGATGTTATCTGGGTCTGTATTTTCCTTGCAGAGAACAGAAACTCTGCCATTCATTGGTTAGCCCTTGACAATAAGATTTTATTTATTTAGTTCTTTCAAAGTAGCTCACATCATTCTCCTCCTCAGGGGAGTAGCCAGGAAATTTTGGTAGGTGTGGCATGGGGAAATCTGGGGGGGGGGGCACCCTGGCAGCTCCAGCTCCTCTGGAGCCTCTAGTCCTTCTCTAGCCCTTTTGATTGGAGAGAGTCAATTCCGGGCTGCTTTTTTGTGTAAACGGGGTGTGTGGGGGGCGGAATAATCTCCGACTCACTCTGAGCATTTTGCAATTTTATTTCAATTTTGTTTTATTTTGTATTTTTAAAAACCTATTTATTTTTCGGCCCAGAAAAAAGAGGAGAGTGACGCTTTCCTGACTGTACCTGCAGTCGTGTTAGAAACCCCATGCGCATCTTACATTTTTTAAATATGTTTTTTTAATTCCTTGAAACTTTTTGTCAGAGGGGGGCGGCACTCTTCTGTGTGGGGCATTGCCTCCCAAATGCCACCTGTGGCTACAGGCCTGCCTCTCCTCCATTTTTCACAATAACCCTTTGAGGTAGGTTAGACTGAAGGAATATGACTAGCCCAAATTTGTCTAGCAAGCTTCCATGGCACGAGTGAGAATTTGAACCTGGGTCTTCCAGATACTAGTCCAACACTTAACCACTACACCACTGGGTTCTGAGCAGATGCTTAGGATCACTTAACACGGGGTAACTATTCCCCTAGCTGGTCACTGGGTTTTCTCAGTTCAAGAGAGATGTTTTCTTCAGTGACGCATGAGATGCCCCCTTCTCTTTTGCCCCATAACCTGATACCTTTCAAGGTGTCATTGCCTCCTTCCTATCAGAAACAGTGTAAGAGCATCAGGGATAGTTTAGTTAATCCCCATCCCATAGTTCCCCCTTTCTCTCAAACACACTTTTAGCATTGTAAAGGGTGGGTGGCATATTTCAAAATTCAACATTTGTACTTATGGTTGGAAAAGAATAGTGCCAAGTGGAGCATATATAACCCTGTGTAATTTATTATTAAGCTACTCTGAACCTGATGTCTGCTAGGAATGTACAGGAGACCTCAGAAGATATCTGGCCCGGGGTGGTGGTGGGGAGTTACTGGCCTCTGTTTGTTGCTAATAATCCCTGCCCATGTCACTTCTTTTTAATTGCTTTCCCAATTCTTCTCCTTACCAATTTGCTGGGTTTGCCTCCTCTTCCATTAAGAAAGTGTACTTCTCAACTTTGTAACATTTCCTCTTTACTTCTGCAGTGGTTTTAAGGTGCTTTGTAGTCTGTATCTGGACAGTTACAGATTCTGGGTTCTTACTATTTCAGTCTTACAGTTTAGGAAATGAAATGGAGAAGGAGTATCTTTCACAGGACCTCTTGGTGTATTTGAAGTTTATGTTTGCTGCTGGCCTCTAATTTTGGCAACAGTTTTTCTTTGCTGTCTTTGTCCCTGGTCTGTGACCAACGATCCCTGTGTGCCCAGTCTTGCCTTCCTACATTGATTACTAGTATTGCAACTACTTTATTGCATTGTTTTGATCTGGTTTGGTATTAGTTGCTAGCAGGTGACCAGACTGGGTTTAATCTGCCACATAGACACTGGCGTGTTATATGTCTGTTTATTGATGGACTTCATTTTTAGTCCACCTCTCTTGCAGAGACTCAAGGCAAATTACAAAATATAAACACAGTGCAGTTGGACAGTTTAAGTTGACATCCAATGAGCAGCACTATAGAACCAGGATTACAAAACAATGGTGACAAAAACCCCACTTTAACACACGGCATACCATAAACATTGCAGAAAATAGATTACTGAAACAGGAGACAAGGCAACATAATAAACAGTGTCATCAATTACAATCCTACTCCATTTATGAAAGTGCCCACCTTTCTGAACCATTCCATCAAACTTTCTTCGTAAAAATCCCATCCTGAACATATGTTTTGCATTTTCTGCAGAATGATAGACATATGTATTTATCCATGTTGTCGTTGTTGTTCAGTCGCACAGTCGAGTCCGACTCTTCGTGACCCCATGGACGAGATCACCCCAGGCCTTCCGGTCTTCCGCCGTCCTCTGAAGTTTGCTCAATTTAATGTTCGTTGCATCTATGACACTGTCTAACCATCTCATCCTTTGCCGTCCCCGTCTTCTTTGACCTTCAGTCTTTCCCAGCATCAGGGTCTTCTCCAGTGAGTGTTCTCTTCTCATTTGGTGGCCAAAGTATTTGAGCTTCAGTTTCATTATCTGGCCTTCCAAGGAACAGTCAGGGTTGATTTCTTTTAGGATTGACTGATTTGATCTTCTTGCAGTCCAAGGGACTCTCAAGAGTCTTCTCCAGCACCATAGTTCAAAACAATCTATTCTTTGGCGCTCGGCCTTCCTTATAGTCCAACTCTCGCAGCCATACATGACCACTGGGAATACCATTGCTTTGACCATGCGAACATTTGTTGGCAGGGTGATGTCTCTACTTTTTATCATGCTGTTTAGGTTCACCATTGCTTTCCTCCCAAGGAGCAGGCGTCTTTTAATTTCATGGCTGCTGTCACAGTCTGCGGTGATCTGGGATCCCAGGAACGTGAAGTCTGTCACTACTTCCACGACTTCCCCTTCTATTTGCCAAGGAGTGATGGGGCCGGATGCCATGATCTTAGTTTTTTTGATGTTGAGCTTCAAGCCCACTTTTGCGCTCTCCTCTTTTACTCTGAGCAAGAGGCTCTTTAGATCCTCTTCACTTTCAGCCATTAGAGTGGTATCATCTGCATATCTGAGGTTGTTGATCTTTTCCCCAGCAATCTTAATTCCCGCTTGTGATTCATCCAGGCCAGCATTTCGCATGATGTACTCTGCATATATATTAAATAAGCAAGGTGACAGTATACATCCTTGTCGTACTCCTTTTCCTATGCTGAACCAATCAGTTGTTCCGTATCCGGTTCTAACTGTCGCTTCTTGGCCCTTATACAGGTTTCTCAAGAGACATGTGAGGTGGTCTGGTACTCCCATCTCTTTAAGGACCTGCCATAGTTTGTTGTGATCCACACAGTCAAAGGCTTTAGCATAGTCAATGAAGCAGAAGTAGATATTTTTCTGGTACTCTCTTGCTTTCTCCATAATCCAGCGAATGTTGGCAATATGATCTCTCGTTCCTCTACCTCTTCGAAACCCAGCTTGTACTTCTGGTAGTTCTCTATCCACGTACTGTTGAAGCCTAGCTTGTAGGATCTTGAGCATGACCTTGCTAGCGTGTGATATGAGTGCAATTGTGCGATAGTTTGAACATTCCTTGGCATTGCCCTTCTTTGGGATTGGAATGTATACTGATCTTTTCCAATCCTGTGGCCACTGTTGCGTTTTCCAAATTTGCTGGCAAATGGAGTGCAGAACTTTAACAGCATCCTCTTCTAAGACTTTGAATAGCTCAGCTGGGATACCATCACCTCCACTAGCTTTGTTGTTAGTAATGCTTTCTAAGGCCCATTTAACTTCACATTCCAGGATGTCTGGCTCGAGGTCAGTGATTATACCGTCGTGGTTGTCAAGGACATCGAGGTCTTTCTTGTATAGTTCTTCTGTGTATTCTTGCCATCTTTTCCTAATCTCTTCTGCTTCTGTTAGGTCCCTACCGTTTTTGTCCTTTATCATGGCCAGCTTTGCATGGAACGCTCCCTTGATTTCTCCAATTTTCTTGAAGAGATCTCTAGTCCTTCCCATTCTATTGTTTTCTTCTATTACTTTGCACTGTTCATTCAGGAAGGCCTCCTTATCTCTCCTTGCTGTTCTCTGGAAATCTGCGTTCAGTTGGGTAAATCTTTCCTTTTCGCCTTTGCCTTTCGCTTTCCTTCTTTCCTCTGCTATTTGTAAAGCCTCATCAGAAAGCCATTTTGCTTTCTTGCATTTCTTTTTCTTTGGGATGGTGGTGATTGCTGCCTCCTGTACAATGTCACGAACCTCCGTCCATAGTTCTTCAGGCACTCTATCTATCAAATCCAGACCCTTGAATCTATTCTTCACCTCTACTGTATATTCATCAGGGATGTGATCTAGGTCAAACCTGAATGGCCTCATGGTTTTCCCGATTTTCTTCAGTTTAAGTCTGAATTTTGCAATGAATAGTTCATGATCTGAGCCACAGTCAGCTCCAGGTCTTGTTTTTACTGATTGGCTAGAGCCTCTCCATCTTTGACTGCAAATTATATAGTCAATCTGATTTCGGTGTTGCCCATCTGGTGATGTCCATGTGCAGAGTTGCCTCTTAAGTTGTTGGAAAAGGATGTTCGCTATGACCAGTGTGTTCTCTTGACAAAACTCTATTAACCTTTGCCCTGCTTCATTTTGCTTTCCAAGGCCAAACTTGTCTGTTATTCCGGTTACCTTTTGACTTCCTACTTTAGCATCCCAGTCCCCTATGATGAGGAGGACATCATTTTTTGGTGTTAGTTCTATGAGGTGTTGTAGGTCTTTATAGAACTGGTCCACTTCAGCCTCTTCTGCCTCAGTAGTTGGGGCATAGACTTGGATTACTGTGATGTTGAATGGTTTGCCTTGGAATCGGACCAAAATCATTCTGTCATTTTTGAGATTGTATCCCAGTACTGACTTTTGCACTCTTTTGTTGACTATAAAGGCCACACCATTTTTTCTACGAGATTCCTGGCCACAGTAGTAGATATAATGGTCTTCTGAGTTAAATTCGCCCATTCCTGTCCACTTTAGTTCACTGATTCCTAAGATATCGATGTTCAGTCTTGCCATCTCATTTTTGACCACGTCAAGCTTACCTTGATTCATAGATCTTACATTCCAGGTTCCTATGCAGTATCCATGACCTATTACTAAAAAAGGGTTTGTAGTTTTACTTCACCTGTGCATCACTGCTTGCTAGAGAGCATCACAAATGCTGCTAACTTGAAAAGTCAGTGCTAGTTGAATGCATGTTTATTGTGTAGGAACATGGTGTATATCCTAGAAGCGTGGGCTTTTGTATGCAGGGTATGTTGAATTGAGTGTGTGTAATTGGCCAGATTAATGTCATAGACTTGAATTTGCTTCAGTGAGGGCAAAACCTGTGGCAATGTGTTGAATGGCTCAAGGCTGAATCTGTGAATGCTTTTGGGGGCATACCTCTGTACTTGAGTGAATCAAAGGTTGGCAAAGTGATGGTATGCATCTGTGTGCTGTAAGCATGAATCACTTGCATTAGTATGAATGAGCTATGTGAGAAGATCAGTGCGGTTTTTTGCATGCTTGTAGCTGATGTTCATCATGGGAGGCTAATGCTACCATCACCAGATCTCAGAATGCAGCAGGAAGGGGAGGAAAGTGGTCAAAGGTGCTGGGGGAAGAACAGGGTAGTAAACACAGTAGCTGTGTCTTACCCATGCTACCTGTGATCATGTGCAATTTGAGTTTATGCCTGTTTACTCAGAAGTAAGTCCTTCTATGATCAGAGGGTGCTGCTCCCAAAGGTGGTGGTTTTAAAGAGACTACTGAGATACTCACTCTGTGGCTTGTGGAGAACCACAGGTGCAATTACCATCAACAAAAAGAACCACCTTTACTTCCATCCTTGGTAGGAGGCTTGCAGCTTACCTGTTCCTTTGACAGCAGCTGTTTCAGGCTTGGAACCGCTTGCCAGCCACAAGCCCCACTGGCCAAGGGCCTTGCCTGTATTCCTGAAACATGGGGTACTTCCTAAATTGGGGAACGGTGTTTAGAACAGCCACAGGTGGCATGTCAAAGGGCCACCTGTGGCTCCTGGGCTACTGAGTGCATATCACTGAACTAGCAGAATTATTGTGTAACCAACCATCACGCATATACTCAGCTTACATTGGGAAGTTAGCACATGCAGGTTAAAACCACGGAAGTGATGGTGCGAGCCAGCCCCGTTCAGCATTTGCAAACTGAACCTCAGGTGATACAAGTGGAAGAAGTTGGATCTGAAGTCATAATGATTCCTTCCCCTCCGAAGTAGATTATTATGAAGGACAGTGGAATTGTATTGTTTCCATTCCATATCCTGCTATCATCATTGCCTTTTTCTACTGTGAAATTGTCTGGGTTATCAAGACTCCTAGCCTGTCTGCTTCTCCTTTTATTTTGCTCGACAAGTTTGTCTCTTGCTGCATAGATTGCCAACAAGGCACAAAGCTGGGTATCTCTGGGAGATAGATGCCTGCAAAATTCTCCTCAAGCTGTGTCTCCAGTGGGTGGACTCTATGCGGCTTAGTTTTCAGTAGTAGACGAATCCCACTAATTTCCAACACAGAAATTTTACCTGAATTTCCACTTGTTCCTCTTTGGAGGGATGAAGTCCCAGCACGTTCCTCCCTTGTTGTCACTGAAGACATCCTTGAATGACTGATTACCCTATTTTTCTCCCTTGTGGGGACCCAAAGCAGCTTATGTCACTCTCCCCTCTTCCACATTCTCACAATACGCATGTGAGGTGGGTTAGCCTGAGAGATTGTGACCCAATACATTGATGTTTAGAAGCCATGCAAAAAGTAGTCCTTAGGCTTCTGAGCCTTTGCCCGTGTCTCCTGTAATCATGAGAGCTTGCAAATTTGGACTGGTAACTCTTCTTAGATTGGACTGATACGTCTCCCACAGTTCAGCACTGTACTTGCCTGAAAAATGTTGCCTTCTCAGAGTCTCTAAGCAACTTTTATAATTACCTCCATTAACTTTCTCTTGAATGTCCATTCAATAGTTGTGGCTCAGTTAGAGCTTAATTATTAAAAAATGGCAAAATAATCCATCTTTGTAAGTATCAGAATCAAATTTTAGAAACCACCAGTGCAAAATGTACTGCAAGGATCTTGAACTGAACTTGTGTTTCTGGGCAACCAGTACTTGGGACAGACATTGATGTACCTTCTTCATAACATCTTGAAATTGTTTTCTGTAGTAAGGTATCCTGCAGAAACCACAGAATAAGTTTGTTGAAGGCAAGCAGAAAGTGGTTCCCCCCCCCTGCAATGTAGGGGATAAACATATCTCCCTAGGTGTGGGTGAAACTATTGAAAAGGCCTTGCTCTTCACACTAATGTACCTCAACACTGTTTGGGGCTGAAGATGGATCAGAGTCTCACAAGCTGGCTCTGGTAGCTAGGACAGCACAGGAAGTGGCAAAATTTAGTTTCCAGCATTTAGAGCTGGGACTCCGAGAACCAAGGAGTTTCATATTTCAATAAAAAATTTAGCCCACCACCACCACCACACAGTTTCCCCCCCCCCCCGATTTTAATCTTTCCTTAGTTTACTGCTTTGCTAATGTCTTAGGGCTAGTTTGGGTCTAGCCTTGCTTGCCTTCTCCATAGTGACGATTTGAAAATTCAGGGCTGTTGGAAGGTTGGTAGACAAAGCAGAAATACTTTCCCAAATTTTCAGCCAGCTCAAAAGTGCAACGGCCTGATCACTAGATGAATTCTAGCTTTTTGTACAAAACACTAAGACCTCAGTCTTGGGGAAGACTGTAGAATCTTTAATTTATATTGGTATCTGTTGACAGGAGCTTTGACTGTCAAAAGCTTATATGCCCAACATCTGGTTGATCCCTAATGTGTTACTGGACTCTAACCTTAATTTAAATTATGCCTTGGAAACTGCTTGCATGTATTATGGTTTTTTAAAAAAAATCTTACATTTTGTGGCATAGCTACTTGAATAGGAATACACATGTAATGCTGATTGAATTGAATAGCTAATCTTCCTAACCCTGTTCTGTGTCAGCTGCAGCAGAGGAGTTTGTTCATTTTGGAACAGTGGGGGCTGTCTTGGCTAGTGAGACCACTGGACTTCCTTCTTTGTATGACATACGCAGGGCCAGGGATGATGCTTAATTGACTTTCTGTCTGTGTTTGTATTTTAATTGTTTCTGTCCTGCTTTCTCCATCAAAAGTGCTCAAAGTTGTTTAAGATGCTATTGGAAAATATAAACAATCACATAGTAATTTATTTTCTAAGAATCAGCCTGGTCAAATGAATGTGTTTTTATAAATAATTCCCAGCCTTTTCTTCTCTCGTTGTCACCAGGTAATTTCAATGCTGTCTCTATAAGACATGGACTCTACTGGAATGCTCAGATGCACAGCAGCACCTCCACTAGTTTGCTTTCATCGGCCCTGCTGTGAGAAGATGGCAAAAGCAAATATTGCCAGAGACCTCATCCACAGACAGCTCAAGGTGCTTCTTGTCTTGCAAAAAAAAATCTTGGATTGTGCTTGATTGGCTGGGACAGGAGGAGGAAGGTGGCAGTTAAGTCACCAGACCGGACATGTGCAACATGGGGGGGGGGGGGACCCACCACCACCACACTTGAAAATATACCTTCTGTACTGTCTCATGGTTTCTGGTTAGGTGTCATGGCCATACTGAGGCTAGTTGGTTGAAAATGTACTCATGCCTTCATTCTCTTCCTCCCTGCATGATCGCATTCCCTCCTGTGCTCTCTGGTTCATGATAACCATAGACTGCAATAACTATGGGCTGCCCAATTCACAGCAAATGCGGATGTGGGGGGCATGTAGGAGTAACAGTTAACATTCTGGCAGTAAGTAACAGCTTGCTATGACATCCACCTTGGGCTCTAGTAAGTATACTTCTGAGTCATTGCAATACCTTGACACTAAACTGTCCACCCAGAGATCCATCCAGCCTTCAAAGTCCCTTGTCCAAAGGACCTCTGCTTTTAGGATGTCAGCTCCCTTATTCCACATGAGCAGAGGCATGGGCAAAGGGTTCCTCAGCCCCCTTCCTTTGCAGCCGAAGAGCAGCAAGAGTTTTGTCAGGTTTTTGCTCCTCGTTATGTACCATGTGTCTCTTAGAACATAAGAACATAAGAGAAGCCAGTGTTGGATCAGGTCAATGGCCCATCCAGTCCAACAGTCTGTCACACAGTGGCCAAAAATACCAGGTGACATCAGAAGGTCCAGCAGTGGGGCCAGGACACTAGAAGCCCTCCCACTGTTGCCCTCCCCAAGCACCAAGAATACAGAGCATCCCTTGCCCCAGACGGAGAGTTCCTATCTATACCTTGTGGCTAATAGCCACTGATGGACCTCTGCTCCATATGTTTATCGAATCCCCGCTTGAAGCTGTCCATGCTTGTAGCCGCCACCACCTCCTGTGGCAGTGAATTCCATGTGTTAATCACTCTTTGGGTGAAGAAATACTTCCTTTTATCTGTTCTAACCCGACCGCTCAGCAATTTCATGGAGTGCCCACGAGTTCTTGTATTGTGAGAAAGGGAGAAAAGTACTTCTTTCTCTACCTGCTCTATCCCATGCATAATCTTATAAACTGTGATCATGTCACCCCTCAGCCGTCATTTCTCCAAACTAAAGAGCCCCAAGCGTTAACCTTTCTTCATAGGGAAAGTGTTCCAACCCTTTTATCATTCGAGTTGCCCTTTTCTGCACTTTTTCCAATGCTATAATATCCTTTTTGAGGTGTGGTGACCAGAACTGTACACAGTACTCCAAATGAGGTCACACCATTGATTTATACAGGGGCATTATGATACTGGCTAATTTGTTTTCAATTCCCTTCCTAATAATCCCGAGCATAGCATTGGCCTTTTTTATTGCAGTTGCACACTGTCTCGACATTTTCAGTGAGTTATCTACTACGACTCCAAGATCTCTCTCTTGGTCAATGTCTGCCAGTTCAGACCCCTTCAACGTGTGTTTATAGTTAGTATTTT